GCAGCAGACGTCTATCATCAACATACACACGCCACATATCAATATCCCAGCTCACATGTCCCACCTCGAGATCGTAAAGATGTTTGTTCCCAATCCTTTTGTTGGGCTTCCAAGACTTGGGGTAGTTAAGGCTGAAACAGCATCAGCGCTGAGCAGTCGACGGAGCGATCACCTGAAGCCATAGGCCGAAGGTCCCTGATATCTCTTGTTTGCTGTTATCTTCTGACTCGCCTCATCCTCAGCAAGCACGCCTTACCAGCCATCCCTCAGTAACCGCGTTGAAGAACAACTCGCACACCTGTAGCTGATGATGCAGCAGACAGAAGAACAGCTAACTGCAGGAAGTCGCGCCTGCTGTTCTGACTGGGAGCACAAGTAAGCCCCGTCATCTCCTCCTTCCCTCCTCAGAACTTCTCGCTCGCCTCGGGGCCTCGTCGTTAACGGCGTTCACCATCGACAGGAACTGTTTGCCGGGTCTCCTTGCTGTCTTGGCGGACAAGCAACTGGAACATGTCGACTTGAGGAAGAGCTTGTTCGCTGCCATGGTTGGTGAGCATGCTGGACCATGACAAAAGCTCGTCGCCCCTTCTATCATCATCGCCGTGAACGCTGCCAGGGCCGCTCTCGCCACCATCGTCGGACTTATATCCACCCTACCCTACCTTGAGGTTATAATCCAACTGCACCCTATTGACTCTTTGATTACCGGTCCAATTTAAATATAAATTTGGGGGTAGTAGAAACATTATTATAACCCCTCACCCCCCATGACAATAACCCCACCCTCTATTCGAGCCTTGACACCTGTTCTTGGGGTAGCCCGACGTGACCGTGCCGGTCAGTGAACCGGATTCCGGCGCCCGGCCGCCGAAGGCTTCTGAAGTTCGGAAAGCCAAGTCAAGTTACCGCCGGGCCCGGGCCACTGATCGGGCAAATTGGTCCAGACCTGAAATATCCGATCATATGCCGCACTGGCTGCCTGGTGATCAGTGGTGCGCACTCGGCCCCGCGGGCCAGCAAGTGCGGCAGTGCCAAAGTCAGTTCCGAACTCGGAAGTGTAGGTCACCACTGAGAGCAACTTTGACTTGCGGGGGGTGTGAGTACTGGAGCTCGCCCCCCGACAAAAAAAATTTCCGTGACTGACAGTGAGCCTGAGTACTGGGCACTGCCCGCGCGGCGGCTGCGGGGTGACCGTAACCCGGACCACCGGGCCGAGTTGATCGGGGCTCGGCACTAGGGCCAAAAGATAAGAAGATACTCTCGGCCGGGATTGAACCAGCGATCTTTCGCGTGTAAAGCGAACGTGATAACCACTACACCACGAGAGCTTGAGGATCGGTCATCCCTAATGGTTATATAGCGCTATGGCGCCGGCGTCATGCCGTGAGGGAGGGAGAGAGGGAGGGAGGGAGGGAGGGAGGGGGAGCTAGTGAGGAGGGAGGAAGAGCGAGGGGGAGGAGGAGGATCGTTATGGTTATGGAGAAGGAAGACTAGTCTGGGATGGTTAAATCAAGCGAACGATCGCGTTGTAGAGAAGAAGAAAAGTTAGAGAGAAGGATTAGATTGGAAATAGCTGAGAGGAAGGGAGGTCAGGGAGCAGACAAGGATCGAAGGGAGAAGAAACCCAGTGAGGTGCCAGGGGCGGAGGAGCAGAGGAGGAGGGAGAAGGCGGGGGTTGAGAGCATGAATGGGGACTCCGAACGTGATATTCGTGCATTAACAGCTGTGAATGTCGCCATGCTCCGCCTCTTCTTCCTCACGCTTCTCCTCCTTCCATGGTACATGGAAGCGACGCAGGTCAGTGAGGAGTTGTCCTCCCATCATGTCGTGATGCTGCTGCCCAGTACGAGGACGAAATAGTTCAAGAGGTGAAGGGATACTGCCAGGCCTCTCAGGCAAGATCGTGCGATAGGTTTTGTTGATAGTGAAGTCTTGGTAAGGACTCGAGCATACGAGCTCGATGCCTTCAGGTTGTCGACAATGACCGTGCAAGATCTGCTGCTAACTGCTCTGCACCAAGTTCATGGGGAGGGTCAACGGGGCAGGGAGAAAGACATGGCGGCGCGAGTTGGCGCGTTCGCTGGGAAAGTTAGCATGGGGGATGCCGGTGCTAGGAGGAGGGACCTTGTGAAAGTTGACCGACGGCTGGCAGGATTGCGACGTTGACAGGAAACTCAAGGAAGAGAAGAGCGGAGGATGTGGTGGGTTCCTGACCCCCTGCTGTCCTGTGCGGCATGCTGAAGAACCCCAGACAATGTCTCTTCCTCCCTTGCGAGCTTCGCCTTCAAGCCTCTGGTCATACATACCGTAAACAACGCCATGGACTGGCAGGTTTAGTACTCCTCCTGGACCTCCAACCCCTTCCTGCTCCTGCTCCTGCTCCTGCTGGTGCTCCTGCTGGTGCTCCTGCTGGTGCTCCTGCTGGTGCTCCTGCTCCTGCTCCTGCTCCTGCTCCTGCTCCTGCTCCTGCTCCTGCTCCTGCTCGTCTTCTTCCCAGGCATAATGACGCTGTGCAGCACTTCTCCGTCGACTCTGTGCTTACCTGCAAGGATTCCTGCATCTGGGCGGGGCGGGTGGAGGTAGGAGGAGGAGTGCCGAAGCAGCTGCTGACGAGTGGCAGCCCCTGCGAGCAGCGGACGTTCTTGTCTTCGACTGCCTGACGACTCCGACGAGGGAGATGCGAGAGAGTAGTCGCCAAGTGCGATCATATCGTGCCGCTGATGCTGTCGATGCTCTAAGGGAACCCGCGAGCCGTCTGGTTGTTCCTCTGCATGGAGTCAGAGTTCCATGTCAGGAGGATGAAGGTTTGTTATCGTCTTTTACAGCTCTACCTCTCCTCCTACTCCTCTCCTCTTACTCCTCTCCTCCTACTCTTCTCCTCTTACTCCTCTCCTACTCTTCTCCTCTTACTCCTCTCCTTGCCAACCTTTCAGGACCCTCAGTTCATGTCGCTCTTCGATATCGCAGCAACGTAGCATCTCTCCGCTGTCGACGTCTCCCATGTCCTCACTGCCTTCTCGCAGCTACCGACTGACATCGCAACTCCCCCTCCTCTACGCCCCTGGGAACCTCTCCTTGTACGACTACGGGGCCGGGCAGGTGAAGCTCGTGGGCGGGTAGGAGGAGCAGAACTGAGGCAGCAGGCAGGAGCCGACGAAGCTTCTAGTCTGGATAGCTTCCAACTGCGCTCCAGCTAGAGTCGAGCTGGTGGAGGAGCTCATGTAGGAGAGAAGGCTGGTGGGGAGGAGGAGGAGCTGACGGGTGGGAGGGAGCAGGAGGGTGGTCGAAGTGCATTCGTACGGACAGTGTCTGCATAACAGAGACTTTCCGTCGGTTCTTGTGCGCGATCATGTCAAGCAATGGGCTGAGTTGAGATGCAGGTGGAGAAGGTGTTCGGATCTGAGAAGATTCCTTTGTTAGCTCAGTACAAGGTGTTGTTGCTTCCTTGCTTTGCTTCTTGTACTTTTCCCTGTGATTGTTTGTTTGTTTGTTTGTTTGTTTGTTTGTTCTTTTTGCTCTTTCATTTGCTTGTTCTTTCGTTCTTTCGTTCATTTCGTTTGTTGGTGTTGGATTGTTGAGATGATTGATTTCTATTCTGCTCGTGTTTTCTTCTCGAATTGTTTTCCAGGTGTACTCATAGTACATTCACTAACCTGTTTTGCCGTCGACAGTTTGTCTTGGCCATGGAGAATAGTTTCGTCGACGATTACGTCACTGAAAAATTCTATCAGGCCCTGATTGCAGGTTGAAGAATTCTCAAAAATACTCCAACTTCTTCCTCACAAAAACCTGCCGATCTCTGCTACACAACCAACTGTCGACCTCTCCTCCACAACAATCTTTCGATGTCTTGTTGACGTCTCGACCGCAGGCTCAGTCCCTATCTACCTTGGGGCCCCGAACATTCATGAGTTTGCACCTTCACCAAATTCCTTCATTGACATGAGAAGGTTGGTAAACTTCGTCCATCTGTCGAGTGGTTTTCCTGACTTTCACGTTTTTCAGCTTCGAGACCGTCTCACAGCTCGCCGATTATATCCGCTACCTTGACTGGAATGCTTCTGCATACAAAGAGCTCCATGCATGGAGGAGGTAACTCCGTTTCCTCGTCCTCGTCCTCGTCCTCGTCCTCGTCCTCGTCCTCGTCCTCGTCCTCGTCCTCGTCCTCGTCCTCGTTCTCTTCGTCGTCCTACGTCCTCTT